GGTCTCAGGATGATTGTCAAAATGTTGTAAAATACGATTCCCTGCCTGCAAATCTCTTCGTAACGCTGCTTGAAATCGGTTGTTTTCTTGTCGAATTGAAAATGTTCCAGTCTCTCGCAATCTATTAAATGTCAACATAAACACTCTTCGGTTTGGCACTCTTCTGTTTGGAAATCGTCGTGCATATTCTCGCACCGCCTTTAAAGCATTACCGTTGCAGAAACCGTATACAAAAACCATATCAGCATATTCACTATTAGAATACGTACGCGGCATATTGCAAAAGACAAAATTCATCTACTGTTAAAGGCTTTCAAAGAGCGACTGACAAATTCATAACAGAAAGTGGAAAATGTAATCAAATATGTCGGTGCTAGATATGGCAAGAAATGTAAACATTTTTTTTCGATTTCTCTGAAACGGAGCAAAAACGAGCATATGTCTATAGGACTTTTTTTCTTAGTTTTTTACTCCTCTACACGCTCCCGAAGTTTTGCCATTTAATTTGGAAACACCCTGTATAATATACATTCTCTCTCTCTCTCTCTCTGTAATGTTACGTGTATATAATAAATTAGATTTTTCTAATATGTTTGAATGAAAACTTGAACGAAATGAATTACTCATTGCAATCAGAATATTTTTGGCAAAAATTTATACAGCTCTTCCATTGTTTTTTCATTTTTCTTCCTCTTTAATTTATATTAGCATATGTTATTCACAATTACATTAAGAATTAGCAAGTAAATGTTTATATCATGTATAGATCTTCTTGCGGAATGACTTAAGCAAATTACTGTCTCTCACATTCTTTAATCTGACGTGAAATTAATTACGAAACATTTACTTTGTTAATGTCGCCACGCAGTATACTCGCTGAAAACGTTATCTTTTTAACGCATTATTGACAAGAGAATCAGTATGATAGATATTAACCGCGTAATAACATCGGTCGTTATCTGCCTTTTTTTCAGGAAAGACTCGCACAAAAGACAAATACCGAGTGGTCTACACGGACTATCAAAGGCTAGAATTAGAAAAAGAGTTTCATATGAATCATTATACCACTATCAAACGTAAGGCGGACCTCGCTGCTCAACTCGGTCTCACGGAACGTCAGGTAAGTCACGTTCCTTTATCAATGAAAATTCTCAAATTATTGCATAGGACGATCATTAAACGGATCAACTCTATGCAGATAAAGATCTGGTTCCAAAATCGACGGGCGAAAGAGCGGAAGCTAATGAAAAAGCAGCAAGAACAAATAAGAGAGCGGCAGATGAGAGCGCAAGACGTTGCAGCGGCGGCCGCGGTAGCGACCTCCACGACGGTGGAGGTGGTGGCTGGAGGTATGATGGGTTATTCCACCGGTGGAACAGAGATGGGTGGGATGCTGGGCGGTCTGATGCAGACCAACGAGAACACTTCTTCCGTGCCTCTTTCAACACCTACGACGTCGACATCTCTACCCACATCTTTACCTACGACACTGTCGCAGCCTACGTCGCAATCGGCGTCGCTGCCCACGACACTGCCTATGCAATATCCAGGACATTCCAATCCAATGTAAAAGTATCTGCTGCCGAGAATTCCGAAGTTCTCCCCGGAAGTTCGAACAACTCATGAGATGGGATGATGCAAATGGGACGGTGAGGTATCTACTGTTTATCGCTTCGAGCACAACGTACAAAGGGTTTTGCGAATGGATAAGCGAATGGATACCGTAAGATAATTATAAAATGCGTGTAAGATGATTAAATATAACTCTCGCACACAACGGCCTGTGATAAACGACCGTTGTTAAACGGATCGTTCGTGGATTACAGATCGTGGAAAAAAACTTTGATCTCACTAATTTCATCGGGTTTATGTCCACGGCGATCCCCGTCAATATAACGGTCGTGCTTTCGATATTTTACGACACCGTTAATTCCGCAAGAGCCTAAAGCCCTGCGCACACAATGGAGGAAATATTAGAAACAATGATAAATTTTTAATATTACAGAAATAAAATATTAGAAATATTTTTTATTTTTCTTTATTTAATAATATTTATACACTCTTGTTCCTAATATTTCATTCGGCGTAAGGTTTAAAGTCGAAAGTGAATATCGAGTGTAGACTGCATGAATGTCTTTGTACTTGGCAATTCCGAGTAGAATCTAAAAATGTACGTCCGTATCGTGTATTTAGATATTCATGCAACCTACTATACGATCGTGTTTCGTAATTGTACCTGGATATTAGGGGGGATTGAGGGGAAAAAGTTTAAAAATAGACAGTTTGTTTGACTATCCCGATAATAGGGAGATCCGACCGTCTGCGCGAATCTCAAGAATTACGCGTGTAGTCTAGCTTTAAGATAGGGACAGTAGTATCCGAAAATAATTGAGTTATCCAAACAAAGTGTATTAACTCTTTAACTACGGCATGCAAAAGAGCTTCTTTATAAGTAATTTACAGAGAAAGATACGCCACAATTATGACATTGCACGGATTTATTCTCCATCGACACAAAACGACGTTGTAAATTAACTTGTGAGAAGCGTCGTAAATTTCACTTGCCTTTACTGCAACTGTTTCGATTCCCGCTAGATCTGTATGTACGCGTATTATTCTTTATATAAATAGGTATATGCGAAATATATATTATTTTATATATAAATAATAGAGGCGCGCAGTATTCAGCTGAAGAGTTAATTCGGATCGGATTCAAATCAATTCATCGAGCGCTGGATGCTCGAAAATTTTGGATATCACTCTTGTATCTCTACTAGTCATCAGCGTAATTTACGACGCTCCGTAAACGTAAAGCGCAAGGTACGCTCTACTTATGTACACGTGGCGCTGGAACGTATACATAAACGTTAGTGTATAGATAAAAAGTGCGCATGACATCACACAAATTAACCATTACTTCATTTATTATGATTGATCGTTAATTTTCTGTATCGACATTATCCGCGCAAAAGTATATGTTTTTACGTACGTTTGTCATGACGCGTGCTTTTCCCTTTTTTCTTTTTTTTTATTTTTTTTTCTCAACAGATCGGTAACATAGTCATACCATATTTTTTATTGTATTATAACTCTATGCGATTCGTTATATTGAGTATCTACATTTTTTGCGTCGTTGCGCAAAAGCTAATAAGTGAGTGCTCACAGCTTTGATCATAATAACTATATTATGATGATGGAGAAAATAATAGCAATTGTCAGTATCGCACGTACGACGATCGGATTGCCACGACTTTAGGCGTACCCGTGAACCGGTAGATAAATTTAAATTAACTGTAAATTAATTAACTGTTAATTTAATTTAACTGTAAATACGTACGTTTGTATATAAATGTGTTTGTAAAGAAAATTAAAAAAATATATGTGCCTTAAGGTAAGGTATGGATTGTGTAGATGGATAATGTCGATATGAGGATAATCATTTCCAATTTGATATCTTAATATAATAGTATAATATAATAGTGTTATATTTGTTAATTAAAGCAAGCTACCGCTTGAATATTACGATAACATCCGCGAAGTCTATATTTTCGCTAGACTTTTCGTATATTTCTTATAGCGAATATTTACACAATAAAGTGACGATCACTTCGACAAGACGCTATCTCCATAATTGTAAAATTAGCAAATAATATTATTTGTTGTTTTTTAACATGAAAAAAATACCGATGTAATATTTAAATCTCCGAATAGTAATTAAGAATAAATCTTGTCTGTTACAATCTTTTTTATCCATAGAAATGTTTTTTATTGATGCAATCCAAAAATTGTCCAGTCTTTTTTGAATTATAACATTGTTGTATGATAATAATGCTTTTTCTTGTGAACGTGCGCGCAAAAAATCCTGTATTTTTAATTCATTTTTTAATGCAAAGTGATATTGTTAAAATAATGTTTATAAGAATGTGATCCGTTTTTATTCAGTATTTTATAATAATAACATGTACTATAATAATATAATTTTTTGTAGATAGATGATATATTCCCACAATGAAATTGAATTTTCAATTGTCCGAGCCATCTCTTTGTCAATTCTTAATAAATTATGTATCTTTTACTCGTCTTTTGACAAATCATATTCAAACATTGTATAAAATTTTAGATTATGTTATAATATTATTGCCGTGTCGTGATCCATCGCTAATGTCAACGTTTCGTAAATTTTGCCGTTCACTTCATCAGGACGAGGAGCGCATTGAAACGTTGGCATTGCCAATGGATCGCGACACGGCAATAATATTAACTCGCAAACCCTTTGGCACCTCTGAAGAAAATATCCGTGAAAGCCTTAAAAGTATTACAATACTATTATAATTAAATTTTATGTTATACTGTAAAATTTTATACAGCCAACAAAAACATTTTACTCGGTAATAACAGAATTGACTTACCGTTCGATCGTCGAACAATATTGCTGCTCCTCATTTATCACTTCGAATAATTCAAAGTGTTCAACCGTTGCTTCAATCCTTATTTTTTTCCTGTATTTATATAGCGTAATGGATCGCAACTCATCGAAATTGTATCAAATTCAATCATTGCTCTTAATATTAATCTATGCGCGTATTGAATTTTCGGTTGAGAATTTGAAAATAGTTCGGCGTCACATTCATCATTACGGCGAATTTGAACGCGGTCTTAATTATGCGTTACTCGAATATGATTATTATCTATGGATCGGTTTGATCGATTTCGATCTCCCATTGATGCAACTAGCGCTTAATGCTTGCCCCGTATTTCCATTTTGTTGATGTAAATCAGAAAATACATGCTCTTTAAAACTTTTATAATAAATTTTATTCTGTAAAGTGAAATCTCATTTTTAAAAATTGAAAACTGAGTCATTCTTTTTCAAAGTTGGCTCAATTTTCTTTAGAGTAAGATTTCACTTCAAAGAATTTAGAGAGAATAGAGATATAAAACGGGAACGCGCGCGCGCGCGCGCGGACGCCGATACAATCCGACGCAACAAGACTTGACGATAGATGATTAGTCGATCAAGAGCATCGATGATCATATCTGTAACGGATTATTAACACATTTTGATACTCGTCTTTATCTACCTGATTTCGCATACCCGACGCAGATACGCACACAGAACGCAGTTTACGAATGCTTCGAAGCATTTGATTGACTAATCGGAAGAAAGAATTTTACTAATTAACCAATAAAAAAATGCTTCGGAGCATTCGTAGCAGCAACTCGACCGCACCCTGGATCATATAATGTCATGTGCACTAACCTTTTTCTTTGTACGCCAATCCCTTGCAATCGGAAAAAACTGTTTCTTTGCATCTTGTAAAAATTGATTTCGTGTGCCATTCCATACAATTCGAAGTTTTTCCACGAATAAATGCGAGGTTAATACTGAGATAAAGAACAATGAGCGCGTGTCTGATAATATGTGTTTATTACTTCACGGTGGATACAGTACTGATCATTTGTCTGATTTTGAAATGCCCGTGAACGGTACGTAAGAAACCGAAAAAAAATATTATCGCAAGAATTTGCCTCGAAAATATTCGAGTTTACAAACTCTAGCTTTGAAAAATAATCGGTTTTTATTTATATACTTTACTTTGTTTATAACTGGATTATATTCGTCGCATTTCTTAACAAATTATGAGAATTAGATTGTTTCGGTTATTTCTCATTCCTTGGTATTGCTAATTTAGTCGAAGGCGAGTAAAGTAGATGGTTAAAGGTAATATATAGAATAATCGAAGAATATAAAGCGATCGATTGCGATTCTGAACAACTGATTATCATAGAGATAGCTTCATACGTTTAATATCGAATATGATCGCTTCACGGGCGAATAAATTACGGATTCGAATATTACGTAGTTCGAAACAAAAAATAGTGCATTAATTTTTTTTTTCGGAGCAATTGTGATAAACAGGATTGCCACAGACCTGAAAAACGGGAAAAACCAAGAAAAATCATAGAAATTTAAATTGTAAAACCTGGAAAAGTCAGGGAAAATATAAAAGAATCTGGAATTTTGAGCTTTTTTTACTCAGTTCCCGTAAAATACTTTTATTTAAAATAATTATTATAATTTTTTAAATAAGCTATCTAACATTTATAGTCAAATACTGATTTTTTTTTAGTCAGTAGGGTAGAGCAGGGCTAGTTGTGACACTTTTTCTTTAAATTATTATAAATCTTCACACAATTATGATAGACTAATGGTAAATTTTTTATTTTAAAACGTTGTACATTCATCTGGCTCAATAATTAAGTACTTATAAATCCTTAATCTCGTAAATAAGAAAAAAATTACGTTAATTACAAGGATGCAAAGTGGACCAATATGCCCCATCTATGGGGCATGTTGAGCATTCTCGAAGGATAAGTTGAGCCATGAAAGGATTATGTGTGTATTAATCAAATTTTTATTATTTGCATCTTAAATATAATAATTTGTAATATTCTTTCTTTTTGAATGCTTTAATTAACAAAATTAGAAAAACTAAAATCTTTACTCTTTATAATAATAATTAAACGTAAAATATATGTTTAATCGTTAACATAGAATAAAAAGCATTGATAAAGCTAGATTTCATTTAAGCTGAGTTTGTAAGGTTAATTATGAGATACTGGCCCAACAAGCCCCATACCGGTGTTGATTGAAATACTTTTTTATAACTAAAAAACTGTAAATAAAATAGCAACTTAACATTAAAGTTAAAAAATACGATAATAACTTATATCCAAAAAACACATTTGATTATAATCAATCGCTTTAATTACCATATAGACCAAAAAGAATATTCACCTAATAACTTTACTTTTGATATACAAAAATGAAAAAGCGCACGTATTTGGCTGTTGACAGGCGGACACAAATTATTTTATTAAGATACAGTAATCTCTGTCTTTGTGCTACATTA